AAAGCAGGCACAGTAAGAAATGAAAAGCAACAACAAATAACACAAAATAGAGCAATTGTAATGATATACTATTGTGACAGTCATGGGAATGTGGTCCTTTCTCTTGATAAAGACACATATTAATATATATTCAGACTGCTTGCCCATTGCAGATAGGGAACTGTTACCATAGGCACTCTTACTCATCCAAGTGTTTGTGCTATGTAAGGACAGTGCAAAGTATTGTGAGATGTATAAAAGGCTGGACATCATCTCTGACCCAAGGCAGCTTCCAGGTGGGTGGGGAAAACAAACATGTAGTCACTCCACAGTCAACAGGTCTAACATGTTAAGTCCTGTTCCATGTTCTGGAGCTTCATACAGAAGATAGTGGCTGGGGGAGGAAGGTCATGTACAAGAAGGCCTCCTGAGGGAGAGATACTTTTATGGGCTCTGCAGGGTAAGTTAGATGGAAGAGAATGGTCCTTTCCAGGCGGAAGGACCAGTGTGAGCAAGGACAGTGGCAGCCCTTGTGAGTCCTGCAAGAAGGAATAGTTTGGAATAGGGGGCCAGGGTGTTGCTGGGTTGTGTGGTGGGATGTGAGGCTGCCTGGGCTTCTTGGGTTCTGTCTAGTGCCATGCATCTGAGGACTTGTTCCCTATTGGTGGTCTGATTATGTGCTCATAGGAACCCACTTACATAGCTCCCACCTTCAGGAGAATGGAACTGACTCAAATTAGGGGCATTAGCTTTGCAGCAGCAGTTCTCTGTACTTTGAAGTATTGATTGCCTGCTTGATTCTCGTGGCCTTTTACAGTGTCCACTCTATAGTGGCAGCTGTGTAGAATAAGTCATGTAACTTCCCTGGGCCTCATTTTCTGTCTGTGAGCTGTTATAGGCTGGGTCTCCTGTTCTCTTCTGAGTCCATCCTTCAATAAGTCCTCCATTCTCTCATGCCTCATCTTGACTCTCCCGTATCTTATTGGCTCCTCCCTGAAGAGTATCCAGAAGTTGGGTGAGAGGGTCTTTGCCTTTAGTCTTGAGCAGCAAAACTTAGTCCTTTATTATGGTTTCAGGCTTTAATATTCTGCAGGCTTTTACAGGGACCAGCCTTCTAAGACAGAATTACCTCCTGGTAGCTTGGCTAAGGCATCTGTTGTATGTAATGCATTCACCTCTCACCTAGGTTCTTAGAATGGTATGGACCTTGTTTGGGAGAAGTGAGAAAATAACCACAATCACATTTTTGATATCCTAGAGTCTGGATGAGAACCCCCCTCTCCCAGGTGGATGCCAGCAAGAGTAACCCAAAAGGTGCTATGTGTTTATGTACTTTTTTCCTGAAATTGACTGGTGGTTTGTGCTGCAGCACAGCTTAGAAGTTGCTGAGAGGCATCTGACTCTGTAGAGTCCCCCTTTGTCAGAGTTCAGGAAGATGTTACAGATCAGCCAGGGCTGTGGGTCCCAAAGTGGTGGGTCATCAGAATCTTCCAAGTGGTTAAACAGATTTCCTGGGACCCTGAGCAAGAGAGACCCATTTGCTGGGTCTGGGTTGGGACTGTCCAGATGACTCTGTTGATTATCAGGCCCAAGGTTTTGAAGATTGGACCTTTTTCTTTTTTTGGTCTTTTTGAGACAGGGTCCCCCTGTGGCCCCAGCTGGCCTGGAACTCACTATGTAGACCAGGCTAACGTTGAGCTCACAGAGATCCGCCTGCCTCTGCCTCCTGAGTGCTGGGATTTAAGGCGTGTGCCTCCACTCCTGGCAAGATTGGACCTTTTTGTCATAGGCACTCTCCCTGGCTCTACTTGGCCCTCAGCCTCAATCTACAGAGGCCTTTGTTCACTCACACATCACCCCTTGGAAAATTCTTTGAGTCCTACTTGCCTGTCTGTGCCTTTCTACTAGTCAATCCCACACCACAACACCCAGTTTTTTTCTTTAGGCATTTACCAATATCTGAAACGAGAGTGTGTAGGTATCAGTCAGTTTTCTGTTGCTGTGCCGAAACACCATGACGAAGAGCAATTTACAGACATAAGTATTTCACTTATGCTTCCAGAGGGGTAAGGGTCTACCAGGCCAGGACTCTTGGCGACAGGAGCAGGAAGCCGAGAGATCACATCTCACCCACAAACAGGAAGCAGACAGAGACCTGAAAGTGGGGCGAGAGTATAAATGTTCAAAGTCTGCCTGGCATGGTTCCTCCAGCAACTCCTAAAGGTTCCATAACCTCCCCAAACGGTGCCACCATCCAGTGACCAAGTGCAAGTAGTGTTCAAGTACCTGAGCCGATGGGTGGCAGTTCTCATTTAAACCACTGCAATTTAATTATTACTGTTATTCCCTGAAATGGACTGTTTGGCACTTTATTCCTGTACTGAGAACTCTCCCTGGCATGTGAAGGTACTCACTAAACATTTGTGGAATGAATGGCTATGTAAATCTCTCCACACAGAGTCCCAGCTAAAGGTTTATGTGGTCCCTGACTGCACGTCTCAAGAGTGAGGTTTCACTTTGTACTGAGGCCATTCATTTAGACTGTTCTTCCTTCAACCTAAAAAGGAGAAAATATAGGCAAACAAAAACCTCTCTGCATCCTTGCTTTGTAATCCCACCTCATACGTGTCAAGTATGAGTCCAAGTACGTTTGATGCATCACATGTGTGTGCTTTTATGCTTCTGAACTGAGCTGGGGTGGGCATGCTGTGTTTGCAGCCCACACTGATTTTCCTTTGTGAAGTCTTGCTGGACCCAGCTGCTTTGATCAGGAAGTGTTCTCCCTGCCTTGTGCCCCTCCCCAGGCAGCCCATGACCCCTTCTGCTCGTGGCAGTTCTGAAGGGCTACCATAGTTCTTGTTCTGCCATGGGTGGGCCCAGGCTGTAACTTGGTCTGTGTCACATCTTATGTCTCCCTGTGTCTCTGTCTCTTCCTTTCCTTGGTGTTTATCCTGAGGAGTGCATTGATGAATACATGTATGTAAGCCTCATTCAGGTTGGGTGATTTTCTGGGATCCCAACTTGTTACCTGTAACAGTTGGCTCCTAGCCCATTTGTAGGTTTATAGTACCCTCCCAGGGAAGCTGATAAAAAGGTCAACTTTAAGAGCCCCCACCTGCTGGGGTAGGGCTCAGCTCTGGAGGCACTTTAATAACCATGAGTTATAATAGTGCCCTTATCCTTCACTCCTGCCTGGGTAGCCTGTAGGGAATGGAGTGGAGGTGGTGCCCATTTATTACTGCTGCCATCTGAGTCTGGCATTAGGATGCAGGTCATGGTGCTCTGACCTAGCTGAGCAGTGTATGGTGAGCTGAGTTTTGAGAGACCAA